CTTACCCAGGAATCTGGGGAAAGAGACCAAGTTATAGACACCAAGTTGATTAGGATTTTGCCTCGAGTCATGGCCCATCCAACAGTAGATAGGAAGCAGTGAACACATGTAGCAGTCTTTGAAAAGCTAGATCAGGACCACCAGGCACCTCATAAAAATCTGTGCAACAGTTGTAAGCAAGAAACCTACAAGGAGGCATCAGGGCCTTTCCCAGAGGATCACAAAGGCAGAGCTCCCAGAAAAGCTGCCAAAGATAACTGAACACTGCCCAATTCTGGTAATAAAAAGGAACTGCCACAGACATATAGGCCCTGTATAGCGAGAGGATGATTGACTGAGGCAGAGGGTAATCCTTCCAATATGGCACAAGGAGTAGGTGTGGCACTTTTGAGCCAAGCTTGCCAACACCAAACAAGACTTTAATAAACCCCACAACTATCTCAAAAAAGTCACAAGTGGCCAACCATACAATAACAGCAGTACTGGATGGATGGTCTGGTGATGGGACTGAAGCCTCAAATAAACTCGAGGAGGACGAAATAAAGAATCTATGTTTTCTTTTTTTTGTGTGAGGATTATGTCTTCACTCTTTCATGTATGTGAACATGTGTGAAGAGTTTTTTGTTTTACTTAGACACATACAGGTGAATATAAGTAAAATAAGTTCAAGCTATTTTCTTGCACACCCACCCACAAGTGTGTGCATCTACAAAGAATGACCAATTTGTAGCTTAGTTTTGATAGATTTGCTTCATTTTTTGTGAAAGGATTAATTATCTGTTTGCCAGTTTCCTTCGTGATTTTACATGTTAATATTTAGTCTTAGTCCCTGTTCAAATTTTGATGTTTTTCTTTCATTTTGAATTTTATATTATGAAACAATTTTGATTTCTCTTCACATATGAATTTAATTTCAATGTTTTCAGAGTACTTTGAGTTCCAGGGTGAACTCTGCAGTTATGTCGGGACATACTAGTTCACAATTGTTGGAAAATCAGTTTAAACTGAAAATACCACATTCAAAATTGATACTCCCTCAATACAAGATGTTATGTTAACAGAAGTCTCCTTCAGTGGTTGTTCAGAAGATATCTAGAGCTTATAACTGCGTCTATGATGTAATGAAGATACTGAAACAGAATGAAAGTATAATAGTTGCAACAGACGCTGGTAAAACTGTATTAACTAACTAACAGCATGCAAATATATTAACCTCAAAGGTCAATTAACTTCTAACAAATTTGTTGAAGTTTTGAAAATTAAGCAAGTATAATAACTTTACAGAATTGAGGAAAAATGAGACAACTGTATGTTTAACAAATACATAATTTATTCACGATCATGGTTTCACCAGTAAAGGCATCATCACGTACAGACTGACCAATGTGATCCAGAAAAAAACAGCAAAATTTTACATATCTGTGAAAAAGATAAAAAACTAGATAGTCTGGAAATTTTAGAAGTACATAGAAGTCTTAAAAACAAATCCGGAAACAACCACACCAACTCTAGCTCCTCCTCACTTGTCTCTAGGTGAATGTCCACTTCCAGTTCTTTTTTTTTTAACATATATATCAATCCTGTTACAAAACATTTCAGTCTGTACCTGATGATGGCTTTATTGGTGAAACCATGGTCATGAATATATGATGTATTCCTCAAATGTACAATTGTCTTGTTTATCAATTCTGTAATTATGGAGTTTCACCAAGTACCGATGGTATCAATTTTATATTATTTTGGTAATATTGTAATTAGTACAGTTTTGTTTGCAATGTTCTTAAGAACACAGTACTTGTATTACCAAACTATGTCTTCAGTCTCTTTAATTCTAATAGAAACAGTGTTGTAGTTAATAGTTTTGTTTATAATACTAAAAAAAAACATGAAGTTTTTATTACCAACAACATGGTCTTGACATGCACTGCATACTACTTGTACTCTATATGTTCAAATTACCTTAGCATGCAAAACATAGTAATCCATTTGTTCAAATTACCCTGACATGTAGAACATACTACTTGTAATCCATATGTTCATATTACCTTAGCATGCAAAACATAGTAATCCATTTGTTCAAATTACCCTGACATGCAGAACATACTACTTGTAATCTATATGTTCAAAATTACTCAAACGTGCACTGCATACTACTTGTAATCCATATGTTCAAATTACCTTAGCATGTAAAACATAGTAATACATTTGTTTAATTACCCTGACATGTAGAACATACTACTTGTAATCCATATGTTCAAATTACCTTAGCATGTAAAACATAGTAATACATTTGTTTAAATTACCCTGACATGTAGAACATACTACTTGCAATCCATATGTTCAAAATTACTCTAACGTGCACTGCATACTACTTGTAATCTATATGTTCATATTACCTTAGCATGTAAAACATAGTAATCCATTTGTTCAACTTACCCTGACATGCAGAACATACTACTTGTAATCCATATGTTCAAATTACCTTAGCATGTAAAACATAGTAATCCATTTGTTCAAATTACCCTGACATGCAGAACATACTACTTGTAATCTATATGTTCAAATTACCTTAGCATGTAAAACATAGTAATCCATTTGTTCAAATTACCTTAGCATGTAAAACATAGTAATCCATTTGTTCAAATTACCCTGACATGAAGAACATACTACTTGTAATCTATATGTTCAAATTACCTTAGAATGCAAAACACAGTAATTCATTTGTTCAAAATTACTTTAACATGCACTACATAGTACTTGTAATCCTTCTGTCCAATTCATCCTAACATGTCCTATACAGTACTTGTAATCCATATGTTGAAATTACCTTAACATGCACTCTACAGTTCTTGTAATCCTAATGTTGAAATTATTCTAACATGCACTATACAGAACTTGTACTCCATATGCTTAAATCATTCTAACATGCACTATACAGTACTTCTAATACATATGTTGAAATTACCTTAACATGCACTCTGCAGTACTTGTAATCCATATGTTGAAATTACTCTAACATGCACTATACAGTACTTGTACTCCATATGCTTAAATTACTCTAACATACACTATACAGTACTTGTAATCCATATGTTGAAATTACCTTAACATGTACTATACAGTACTTGTAATCCATATGTTGAAATTACTCTAACATGCACTATACAGTACTTGTACTCCATATGCTTAAATTACTCTAACATGCACTATACAGTACTTGTAATCCATATGTTGAAATTACCTTAACATGTACTATACAGTACTTGTACTCCATATGCTTAAGTTATTCTAACATGTACTATACAGTACTTGTAATCCATATGTTGAAATTACTCTAACATGCACTATACAGTACTTGTACTCCATATGCTTAAGTTATTCTAACATGCACTATACAGTACTTGTAATCCATATGTTGAAATTACTCTAACATGCACTCTACAGTACTTGTAATCCATATGTTTAAATTACCTTAACATGCACTTTGCAGTACTTGCAATCCATATGTTGAAATTACTCTAACATGCACTATACAGTACTTCTAATACATATGTTGAAATTACTCTAACATGCACTATACAGTACTTGTAATCCATATGTTTAAATTACCTTAACATGCAGTCTGCAGTACTTGTAATCCATATGTTGAAATTACTCTAACATGCACTCTACAGTACTTGTAATCCATATGTTGAAATTACTCTAACATGTACTATACAGTACTTGTACTCCATATGTTGAAATTATTCTAACATGCACTATACAGTACTTGTACTCCATATGCTTAAGTTATTCTAACATACACTATACAG